CTCTCTCTCTCTCTCTCTCTCTCTCTCTCTCTCTCTCTCTCTCTCTCTCTCTCTCTCTCTCTCTCTCCCCCCCCTCAACATACATAAACACATAGATGTTGAATGTCATCTAGCGATAGCCCCAGGGAATGTCACTGAACAGAATAACAAGAGGGAGTTCACAGCCTGCAGAAGAACCGATTGGTTGGAAGCCTTAGTATCCATTTCGTTTTTTCTGGTATTTTAATTGACCTTTTTCTAAACCTTTTTGTTTGCATTTGTTTGCCTTCCGAACAAGCGCAGAAGCACTAAGCAAAGAGAGCACACAGCGGAACCAGCAGTGAGAATTGCTGGACAAATCTGGTAGCTAGCCAGGGTTTACACGGAGGTAGATGGGTAGGGTTGATAGACTCATATGAGTGAACTACATGGACACTAAAGGAACTCTCTCTCTCTCTCTCTCTCTCTCTCTCTCTCTCTCTCTCTCTCTCTCTCTCTCTCTCTCTCTCTCTCTCTCTTCACTTACCGCCCCTCACCTTAGTCATCTATTTATATGACCCCATTCCACCCCACCCCACCCTGTCCCATATCCATCTCACCTTATCTTTTATCCATCCCATCAGTCCCATCCCATCTCATCTCATCCGTTCCAGTCAGTCCATCCATCCGTCCGTCCATCTATCTATCCGGCCAACCATCCTCCCCTCACTCCCTCCCTCCAGCCGGCCAGCCAGCCATTGTTCATCCATCCATCCATCCATCCATCCATCCCGCTTCTCCCCCATCTTGCAGGTTCTACACACTGAGTGAGAGAGCGGGTTGCTGCAGAGGTGCAAGTCCATTTCCGCACTGCCCCCTAGCATTAGCTTAAGACCCAACTACAGAGAAAAGTAGCGTAGAATAAAAACTGCGCTGACTTCACTGACCAGAATATGATACAATGGATACGAATATCCCCAATACAGTACAGTAGAGTAACATAGAATAAAATGCATACAATATAACAGATTACGATGAATCAGAATAAAGTGAAATGTGAGACCAGAGGGCTCGCTCCACGCACTCGCTTCCAACCATCAGCCCTCTTTCTGCACAACTTTTCCAAGCAGATGTTCTTTACTTTTCCATGCCTCACTGTTCGTGCCAATCGAAGTTACCCATGCCCTCGAGCAGAACGGTATGGTGTGGGTTTCCCTAACTTTTCTAAATTATCTTTATGACTTCGCTGAGTTTGCTCCATTTCTTAACTGCGGCTCAAAAAGCACGTTCGTCTGTGTGTGTGCCCCCAGACATCCGTTGCGAAGAGCGTCAGCATTGAGGCGTTGCACAATGAATGCACCAATCAACAGGTAGAGTAGTTCGTCGTTCAGCCAATCACAAATAACAATGTAGCATATATAATCACCTGGAATTTAAGGGCCGGCATTTCAGGGTTCTGGGAAACAGGGATCAGGAATTCAGAGATTACTCGCGGCTCTGCAGCTTGGAGGCCTCTTTAGGGGTCTGCACTTAGGGGACCGAAATTGACGGGTCTGCAGTTTACGGGTCTGCAATTCAGCGGTGCCTCCAGTTCAACCATAACTACCTCGAGACCTGACATATGGAACCATACAGTTTATTTTGTTTTCCATTTTATTTTATTTTTTCTTTGTTTTTTTTCCTAGGCTACCAGCCGGGCCGCCCGGGTCACCCTGTTTTTCCGGGGCAGCCCGGCCATGCAAGGACCAGGGAAGGTCCCAGCAAAAAAAAAAAAAAAAAAAAAATCCCCAAAAAACTTTGTAGAAAAATAAACTGAACAACTTTTGCCTCAGGGTCACATCGAAATTCTTTACCAAATTTAAAATTTAAAAATATTTCTTATTTTTTTTTATTTTTTGGCCCGACCGCGCAAGTGGTCCCGGGGGCCAAGTCCCACATACACCGTTGAGCCAGTTCAACGTTGAACTAGCTCAACGTGTGTGACCCCACGCTACGTCTGAGATGCATTGGGAGCTGCACATCCAGCGGTTGTTCTTAGGTGTATAAAATACAAACGACTTTCGTTTTTGTTTTTTGGTTCAAGAAAGGTGCTGAAAAATCCCTCCGCTCGAATACAACGCCCCCTACCCTGCCCATCTTCCGTTGAACTACATACCCCACTTGGAGTGGAGTGGGGTATGGGTTCAACCGTCAACGGTGCTTGTGCCATCATGACCTTCTGTGGGAAGACACTCTGACAGCCGTGGGAGGACACTCTGACATTCTTTGGGAGGACACTCTGACACTCTGACAGCCGTGGGAGGACACTCTGACAGAGAGTGTTCATGCTGTGTTTGGCTGTGCAGCCCGAAACTCGTTTCTGCAAATGCACCAAGCCAGGAGTACTGTCTACGTTCATTTCATGTTCTAGTGAGTCCCTGTCTCCGACGTTGCATAGTAGGTGGAGCCTTTCACTGAGGATTGTTGTATTTTCCATTTTACTTTTTAGAAAATACGGACAAAGATTTCAGTACCATTTGGCTATTCATTGTTTTTTTGGGAAATAGGGGGGAAAAAAGCTTTCAGCAGCATTTGATTCTCCTTTTTTGGCTTTGTTTCGAGTTTTTAAGTCGCAAAAACCGTGTCACGCCGTTGCGTTGAGCTGGTTCAACGGTGCATGTGGGACTTGACCCCGGTCCACTCAGGTAGCCCTTTTTGTTTTGCCTTTTTTTTTGTCTGTTTTGTTGTTTGTTTGTTTTTGTGTGTGTGTATTTTTGTTTTGTTAAATTTGTTTTGTGTCTGGCAAGGTACAAAACCAGTTTCGCTTAGCTGAGGAGGCCAGGAGTCAATTTCTCAAATGGTAGGGGCCCCAAAGAACCCCAAAGATGACTATTGTGTGGGCATTTGGATTTTTTGCTCCCATCTCTAAGTCTCCTCACCACACCTCTCCTGGGACTGCTTTTCCCTTCCATAGTCGCTACTAGAAAATACGAGGCATTCGGATGCAAATGGTTTCAGGAGTCTGTAGATTTAGGGCCGACCAATTTGCAGATCTGCAGATTTAAGGGTCTGCAATTCGGAGGTCTGACCTTTTGGGGACCCGGGCATCCTAAATCACAGTCCCTTTAACTGCAAAATTAGGGGTCGACTGCAAATATAGGGGTCTGCAAATTCAGACTTAGACCACAAATTTAGGGGTAGACTACTCCAGTGCAAATCTGGAGTTAGACTACCAGACTGCAAATTTAGGGGTAGACTGCGGATTTAGGGGTCTGTAATTTTAAGATACCGCAAATTTAGGGGTAGACTACTCCAGTGCAAATCTGGAGGTAGACTACCAGACTGCAAATTTAGGGGTAGACTGCAGATTTAGGGGTCTGTAATTTTAAGATATGGGGGTAGACTGCAAATTTTGGGGTCTGTAGTGAAAGGGGCTGCAATTCGGCAATCAGCAACTCAGGACCATGTCTCATATCAGCATCAGAGACGCGTGCCAAAGCCCCAGTCCAACAATAAAGGGTGGGGAGAGAAGGGAGGTGGTGGTGTTGGCCATCGAAAGAGCGCTCAAGAGATACTGGGATGCTTGAGGCCATTGCATAATTGGGTAACTGCATCCAAAGGGATCTCAGTAAGTTCAGGGAAATGGCTAAGTTCAAAGCGGTAGGTCCCACCCAGCCCTGAGGCAGAATAGTACACGCGCATGCAGCCATTGACCACCGACAGATCGCGAGTTCGAACCCTGATCGATAAACTACCGTTGAGCGGTAAGTCCCCTCACATACCCCTGCATCCTCCTCCGTTCCCCGCCTCCAACAAAAACCACGGGGGACCATTTCGATGCTTCCCCCGCCACCTGCACCATCACCCCCTCTCACCTGCAGCTCGGGAGTTCGCTTGCTGAGTTCTTCATACATGAATTCCAATTCTGGCAAGACCAACTCCATGCGCGCAAGCTTCCGCTGCGCTGCTTCACATCTTCTTTTCAGCCTTCGGAACTGCTTTTGTGCCAAGGCATCGGAATCATCCACTTCAGCAAGCGGCGGCACCCAATCTTCCTGCAGCCTGTCGCGAGCACCATGACCAGCCTGCGAAGAGCGAACCTGGTCCACTGCAGTGTCTACAAACGTGTTGCCTCTGCTTCCTACCGAACTTGCAGTGGCGGTCTCCGGAATGTCATCTCCATTTTCAGGACGTGGCCTATCCTCTTCGCCAACTGATGGTGACAGAGACACAGCACCTGCTCGACGCTCATCCTCGAAATGCCGCCGCCCCAGTTTATCGGGGAAAGCCTGCTGTGTTTCATAAGTCATCAGCACGTCTCTACCCTCGTTTGCCTGCTGTGTTTCATCTGTCATCGGCGCCTTATTCCCCTCATTCGCCTCATTGGCATTGTCAGCTGATTGCGCAGCATTCGCTCTCCCGATTGCTGCCACATCATCCTGATAAACGGCAGACGGGATACCACTTGCCACGTCAGTCTCCGCGTGCAAATCCGGCCCTGATCCTCTCTCCCTCCTTACATATTTGTCGACTGAGTCTGATGGCATCCTCCTCCTCCCTTCTTCCAATTCCCCACTTTTCTTCACTCCCCCTTCTGCATTATCAAGAAGGATGCTGTCTGATCTGTCTCTGTCAGACTGTGATTCGTCCTGCACTTGCATTTGCAGCATAGAGGAGTGATCAGATGGCTGAGTAGTACTTTCCCCAGTGTCACCTAGGAGGGGATCTTCCAGGTTAGACTCGTCATTGCTCTCTGCCGTTGGATCTGTTCTTCTAAGCTCGTCTTTGGGTAGCAGAGTGCTGCTTCTTCGGCCCGGCCGGATGTTGATAGCTCGGCTTGCTGGTGACGGTAATGGTATGGTTGACTGTGAAGATAACCGTGAGGACAACGATGAGCCGGATGGTGACGATGGCAAACTGGCAGGGTGATCTTGGGGATTTGGTGGTGGAATTAACCCCATTGACCTGGCTTCGGCCAAGAACTTCAGCAGGCCGCCTTTCGCTTGAACGCATCGTTTTATTTCGCGTGATAATTCGCGGATGGCCTTGGCGTTTTTACAAGCAGAAAACTTCTTCCTCGCTTCCTCCACTGCTTCCTACAGAAAGAAAAGCAAGCTGAGATAGTTGTCAATACTCCTGCTGTTTCTGAAGCATTGAAATACTCTCACACACACACACACACA